AGCTGTTAAACATTGGCAGTGTTAAAATCAGACACTCCCTAAAACAGAGGAAAAGAGGGGTGTGCATTGGTGTGGCTTTCTATTCTCTCCCCCCCCACCACCACCACCACCACCACCGCATACACACCCACCCACCCCTGCTGCTTCAGCTGGGCTGGAGACCAAGCGGTTGCAGGAGCCAGGTCTGTAGAAGATTTGTGCTGCTGTCATCCCGGCTAAAAGTGCCTGACGGGGTTTGCCCACATTCTTTGCTAGCCAGAACAACAGGCTTTGTTTCCAGAGTTCAAGGCTTGCTGTGTCTCTCACCTCCCACTCACTGCCCAGACATGCACTAGTGCCCTTATTTACTTAAGGTGCAACTTTCCCACAGTTCTTTTGCATAGTCCTTCCAGCGGCTGAGCTGTCCTTCCTAATACCCCCAGCCTCAATTATCTTTTTTGGACTTGGAGAAACAAGATTGTAATTCTTTTTCCATTAAGTTGGGGGATGAGTCATCGTCTGCTATGTCCTAAATGCAACCGTTCGAAAATAAAACATCAGCCGAAGCAGCTCTAAGATCTGAAACAATTGTGCATAGACATAGTCCTTCCAGCGGCTGAGCTGTCCTTCCTAATACCCCCAGCCTCAATTATCTTTTTTGGACTTGGAGAAACAAGATTGTAATTCTTTTTCCATTAAGTTGGGGGATGAGTCATCGTCTGCTATGTCCTAAATGCAACCGTTCGAAAATAAAACATCAGCCGAAGCAGCTCTAAGATCTGAAACAATTGTGCATGGAGGGCTCTCTCCCTCTCCCTCTCCCTCTCTCTGTGTGTGTGTGTGTGTGTGTGTGTGTTTTTCTTTCTCTCTCTCTTTCTCTCTGTTTCTCATTCATTTCGGAGACAACGTGGAGCAAGAGGGACCCTCTGATCAAAGAAAAGGATGGATTCATCCGTCTTGTTTGTGAGCCAGGCTGTATTCATATGAGAAGAGGATGGTGTGTGTGTGTGTGTGTGTGTGTTGTTAATGTGGAAAGATTTAATAAATTCATCTGCTAAAATTAGCACAGCTTGAGTTGTTGCTGAAGCTCCCTGTGGCTTGCTTTGAGAAATGATCTAACAAGTTGAGCTGTGCTGGGACCGGCATTCAAGGCAGGTTTCTGGAGACACTCTCGAAAGCCTAAGTCATGCTTTTAGTAGAAGACAACGGTGTGTGCTCCCTTGTCTCTGGGCAGGATGTGCCGCGGAGCCTGTGGACTCTCGGCTTGCCAGTTCTGTAAGCACTTGTTTGGCAACCACAGATATGCTTGTGCCAAGAGTTTGCAGGACTAAGAAGGCAATCTGTTCTTTTAGGGCTTTGGTGGCTTCGATCTCAGGGAAAAAAAAGTTTGTGTGTGCATGTGTGTGCATGTGGGAGTGTGTGGGCATGCTGCTGTTTCCTCCCACGGCCTGTCGCTTGGGAAGGAGGCTACACAGTTGGATGTTGAAACGTTTGGCTTCCTTTCTGTTTTTATCGGAGGCACCAAGACGTCCAGCGGCTTTTTGAAATGGGCCTCTCTCCCTCTGAGCTGCCCTTAAAAATTAATTAGGGGAGTGGTTTTTATCCTCGAAGGTTTGAGAAGGAGGGTTTAAACCTCACGGCTTGCTGTGCCTGATTAGCCCCTGGAAAGATCCCTATCGCTTTTTCCCATGACAAGGATTTGCTGGCCAGGGGGAGCCCTTGAAAATCGAAAGCCTTCACTGACTTGGATGGGAAAAGGTTTATTTTGATAAGTTAGGGCCGGCTTAGTGAGTAATTGCTGCTGATCACTTCTTCCCAGGTCTTAGTAATGAAATGCACTTTGGGTTAACCCATGATTTCATGCCTTCAACCTTTTCTTCTGTTTTTTTTTTCCCCCTCCCCCTCCAGTATGATTATATCGTAAAGCAAAGTCTCCGCTTGGAATGTATTCAACCCCACTGATTTCTCTCCAATGCCTTGTATTTTTGTTGTGTGTGGAGGTGGGCAATGTCTGGGCTTTTGTTTTGTTTTGTTTTGTTTTTTAAGATAATAGATAGCTTTTGCTCCCTTTGGTGTTATTGCATCCAGCTGGCTTCATGAGCTAGAGTAATGGCTGTAGATGGAACACATAAGCACTTGAGCCAAACTTTAGATAAAATTGCCTTGAATCTGGAGCCACTCTGTAATGGAGGAGGAGATGCAAGTTAAATTGAGTTTTGACAAAAGCAAGTAACTTGCTCTGTAGTGCCCATGCAGCTAAGTATTATCAAAACAGAAACATCCGTATACTTTTAACTATCCTGTGACTGCTGCCACAGATTAATATCTCTCTCCAAGAAACTGCTTTCTCTTCTACTAGCTTTTTACATGTGACACACAGTATGCAGAAAAAAGAGCAATAAAACAGCATGGTGCTGTTTAAGGAAACCTCCAGTGAGCTGCTCTTTGGGCACCTTGCCTTCGTGCTAAAGTGTCCATCCCCCCCCCGCCCTCGTATTCATCAGGGCCCTTGGAGAAGTTTTGTTTCTTCCTGTCACTTTCTCTCCCCCTCTCCTCTTTTTTTAAATAATCCATTTGTCAAACCCCTGAGATGGACCTATAGAGTGCCACCGCCCACCCACCCATTCTTCCCTCACCCTCCATTTCTGTAAGGTTTCAGAATAACATGGCATTGTCTTTCGTGGCACCACACGGAACAGTTGTCCTTTTGTGAGCTGGCTGCCTAATTGACAGACACACACACACACACACGGTTAGAAACGGTTTGTTTACAAGAAACCACCAGCTTGTCCTTGAAAGAATTCTCCTTACGTAGAAAATAAAAGTAAGAGAATTTTGTTTCCCCCTTCCCTTTTTGCAGTCCTTCTTTTTTGGGAGAGAAAAATAATAATGGCAGGCCCTGTTTCTTTTGAAGGTGTCAGTATGGATGGCAAGGCCAGTACTGCGACAAATGCATTCCACACCCAGGCTGTGTCCATGGCACTTGCAATGAACCGTGGCAGTGTCTCTGCGAAACCAACTGGGGTGGCCAGTTCTGCAATAAAGGTAGGCTTGAAGCCCACAGGGGAGCCACGTGTGAAACTTTGACAAGCTGGGTCGGGTTGGGGGCCCGTGATGGAGACGTTTGGGGCTGTGTGCGGAAGATACCCCAGGAAACAATCCTGCCCTCCCATATGCTGGCTTTGTTTCCGTGTCTCGGCTGGAAATCTGCAGGCGGACGGTGTCTTTGTTTGCTGGCATTGCTCTGTGGAGAGTTTGGGAGGCCACGAGGCCAACTCTGCTTACTCATTCTTGAATGCTGTTTTTTTGCTGTTCCGTTGCAGATCTAAACTATTGTGGGACGCACCCGCCTTGTTTGAATGGGGGCACCTGCAGCAACACGGGGCCGGACAAATATCAGTGCTCATGCCCAGAGGGCTACTCAGGACAGAATTGTGAAATTGGTGAGGATTTAAGTCGCTGCACATCTACCTTTGTGGGGCAACCCTTGTGTTCCTCAGTCGCATGCCCTGGGGGTAGTGGGTGCCAACCTTGGGCAACCCAGGTGTTCTTGCCCTTCAACTCTCAGAAGCCTTCGCCACTAACGGTTCTGTCCAGGGTTTCAGGGAGTTACAGTCCAAGAACACTTGGGTTACCCAAGGTTGGAAACCCCTGTCCTAAGGTGTGGCAAGTACAATATCAGGTAGAGGAGAGGAAGTGGGAACATCTTTTGAAGCAAGGCTTGGGAAGTTGGAGCCATCCAGAGGTTACTGGACTGCAGCTTCCATCCTCCTTCATCATCAACCCTGCAGGCTAATGCTGGCCCTGGTTGGAGCCCCACAACCTTTTGGGAGCTACAGCTCCCATCTTTAGACAACAGTGCTCCAGTCTTGAAATGTACCAGCCATATTTAGTGCAGATCAGGGGGGAAAACTTTTTTTTTCAAACTACACCTGCCAGATTCTCCAGCCCCTCTGCTTGGCCACAGGCTATGCTGCCTGTAGAGTCCCGGAAATTGTAGTGTAGTAGATTAACTTTGCCAAACCCTGACTTTGTGTAGAATTTACTTGATTGTATAAATATTTGCTTTCTCCAACCAGTTGCATCCTCCTTAAAGTTTTGTCACTTAAAAGTGGGAATGAAGGATAGAGTAACAGGAGATGGAGTTGCTCCTCCTGTAAACCCGTACAAATGGTCCATATAAATCTAGCTCCTCGTTTAAGGAATTAAGCAAGTTGTATATCCACTATCTGGACCAGGATCCTAAGCTAGGACCTGAAGGAGGCAGGGAGTTTGAGCAGGTGATGGGGTTGCCTGTATTGCCTGGTGTTGGCTAAGCTGAAAGGGGTTCTGTTCTTGCTGCAGCGGAACATGCCTGTCTTTCGGATCCGTGCCACAATGGAGGAAGCTGCCTTGAAACCTCTACAGGATTTGAGTGTGTCTGTGCTCCAGGCTGGACAGCACCAACATGCACACTTAGTAAGTCCCGCCAGTCTTTCCACCTTAACACAACCTGCAAGGTGCTTGAGTTTTATGCAGGTTTTCAAGTGGCTTTTGATAGTTGCTTTTGCTTGATGTTCCAGGAGCAACTGATTGACTGGCAGAAATACAGGATGAGTGTTTACTCTCTTTCAATCTCTGCTTTGCAAACGGATTGTCTGGGCAGCTTATCATCCTAGTGGGCTATATGCCTTACCAGTAGGACCACTGATTCTGTGTGATTCTCTTTTAAAAATGGCCAGCCCACATCAATCTTGTGGTGACTTATCCTCCCTGTGTACTATGTGTGAGATCATAAAATTCCTATATCTGTAAAGTTGCTCTTTGAATCAGAGGTGAGAGAGAGAGAGAGAGAGAGACGGGCGTGCATTCAGGTATCCTAGGCCATGGCATTATCTGCCATTTGTTCACAGCTGTTCCTCTAAGGCAGTGGTGTCGAACTGTGGCCCTCCAGATGTTCTTGGCCTTCAACTCCCAGAAATCCTGGCCAGCAGAGGTGGTGGTGAAGGCTTCTGGGAGTTGAAGTCCAAGAACATCTGGAGGGCCACAGTTCGACACCACTGCTCTAAGGCTTTCAGGATGGGGCCATTTTGAGTTCCTCATACTGACTGGTGTTGCCACCTGTACAGCTTCAGGAGATTCAGGGTAGGGGTGGAAATTAGAGCGACACAGGAAAGAAAATTGTGCACATGTTCTAAATCTGGCTTCAGCTGTGATGGCATGGGAGTCTGCTTCAGAATGGGCTCTCTCCTAAGAGTCTCCTGGGTGAAGTTGTCCCCCATCCCAGTAGAGAGGCCTTCAGTATAACAGACAGGGTTGTTACTATAGTCACCTTCAGACAAGCCTGATCAGTTTTGGGATAGTGAAGGTTTCAACTAATGAAGCCGGGGACCAGTTTTGAGTGATACCCAAGCTTTAGTGAGTGAGTTCATTTAAGCCCATTTGGAACTGAGCTTGGGTTGATTCCGTATCCACAATACAACAGCAAGCGGAGCATGAATGTACTTGTAAATATTCACTAATGGGCATTTTTCAGTAGTGTCCTCTGATGGACTTAGCAGTGTGTCAAGAAAATTTTCCTGTTTTGGACCTGCAGTTCCCAGAGTCTTCCAGTAGCCGTGGGAGATTTTGGGAATGGTAGTCCAAAAAAAGTAATGTTTTCAGAGTTACTTCATGGGGCACTGAAATTGCTCAACCTGCTTCCCCCCCCCCCAAATACTCCTATGGCTACTCCCATGAAAGTTGGGAAGACTCAGTGCTCATAAGAACAGTGGTGCCTCACTTGGCGATGATAATCCGTTCCAGCAAAATCGCTGTAGAATGAAATTGTTGTCAAGCGAAAGTAAAAAGCCCATTAGAATGCATTAAAAACCAGTTCATGCATTTTAATGGGCAAAATACCTCATTGTCCAGCGAAGATCCTCCATAGGGCAGTCATTTTCTGGTGCCTGTAAAGCGAGGAAACACAGCGAGGAGCCATTTTGAAAGCCCGACGATCAGCTGTTTTGATCGTCGTAAAGCGAAAAAATCGTTAAGTGGATTCGTCGTGGAGCAGGGTAATCGTTAAGCAGGGCGCCACTGTATTTCCCATTCCAGGTGAGCATACGAGTTTGAGGATGACGATGTGATCAAGAACAGGTGCAAAGGATTCAGGAGGGGGTGAAAAATTGGGTGCTGTGACTGATTTATAAGCTGAATCTCTCCTCAGGGCTGCTGAGTGTTGATTATCTGCCCTAAAGATAAATCTCTTCTTGGTAGATATTGATGACTGCTCTCCCAACCCCTGTGGCCATGGAGGGACGTGCCAAGATCTAGTGGATGGCTTTAAATGTGTTTGCCCTCCTCAATGGACTGGCAAAACATGCCAGATAGGTAAGTGTTGAGTACAAATTTATGGGGACAGCAAGTAAGCAATTGGAAAAGTTACGCATAAAACAAGGGTGGCAGAGAGTGCTTTTGCCGCCACTAGCCCCAAACCATAGGATACGCAACGAGGTGTAGTGGATAGAATGTTAGACTAGGACTGAGGAGACCTTAGTTCAAATCCCTGCTTGGATGTGGAAACTTAGAGAGAGAGAGTTGAGGGTTGGATAATACTAAAACCACTCCTTTAATATGTCAATTACCTTGAAAGCCCTATTAGTGTTACTATAAGTTAATTCCAGTTTCATGGCAGGCACCCTAGACACCAGATACCTGCACAGCCCTCGAAAGTACCTTTAAAAATAAATCTTATTTGTACAATACACAGCGAGTTATGCCCCTTCTGCAACCTGTTTTGTAAAAGGCCACTTTTATAAACAGGAACTGCCCAAATTAGCCTCTGAGAGGGATAAAACTGGGCCTGCAGGGCAAATAATGGCTCTGGATGCTTCTGCATGGCACTATTTGCATGTTGTTATCATATCCTGTTGAGTCACATCCCACTTACAGCAACCCTAATAGGGTTTTCAAGATATACCAGATATTTAATGAGTGGTTTTTCCATCCCTTCCCCCCTCCCACAAGCGGAGATTTGAACCCTAGTCTCCCAAGTCCTAGACTGTCACTTGATCTGCTATACCCCAATGGCTCTAGGGGTAGAGGGAAAATGTTTCTGCAGAGGTGGATACAGCTTACAGGCTATCCTTTGCCCACATCTAGCATTGAAGGTGCAGTTCCAGAGGGGCCTGCTTTGGTGTAAGGACATGTGTGCATGAATCAAATAGGTAGCTACAGCCAGTTCCTTCTGCTGGGCCAGTGAGTGCTGGTTCGCCTCTGCTTCTGGAGATCCTGCTCTAGTACAGACATTTTAAAGGAGCTTATATTGCTTTTCGTGTCTTATAGGCCCATGGGGTGACAGATTAGCCACATGGTTGGGGTATGTGGTGCAGGGAACGTTCTGCATATATATCCACTGGCTCTCTTCGCACATGGTTGGGGTATGTGGTGCAGGGAACATTCCACTGGGTCTCTTCAGAGGGGACCTCTGATTTGATAGCGTTGGGGAGTGTTCCTGTCAACTGGAAAGACACAGAGTCTGGAAGCTTCCCACAATCTGGGGCAAGTTTGGCCACTGCCTTTGGGTCCCACGTGTGTCAACATGGGAAGTGGCAGCTTTTGAAGTTGGAAGCCAGTTTGGTTATCTTCATGGGATCTGTTGCGCTTAGTACTCCTCTCAGCCTGACGCTGACTTCGCTGCCTAAATCATCCTGGGCCTCTGCAGCTTCTCCCGCCTCTTTTCCCTCCCTTTCAGCCTTGTGGGAAAGTGGCTCCATCTCTCCAGTTGTGTTAACTCCTTCCAGGGAGAGAATCCACAGCTGCATTCCAAGCCGGGGATGATCTCATGGAGAAATGAGCCGTCCTCCACCGTCTTAATGCAGCGTCTTAATTCCAGTGACTCAGGTTGTTCCACTGCTCTGGAGTTCCCAGATCACCCGCTTCCTTCTCTTCCACCCACCCGCCCTTTTATTTTCCCCTTTCCTCAGAAAGTTGTTCTTGGTTATTGAGGCTGTAACTGAGGAGAAATCGGAAGGCCCTTCAGCATCGAATCAGTTTTGCCAGTGCACTCCTGGAGGTGTCAGAAATGCATGCGTCTTTAATGAACATGCCCTGTTTGCTGGGCAGACCAGTGGAGAGAGCTTTCCTCCTCCTTCCTGTGCTCACTGCTAAACTTTACAAATTCCCTTTCTCTTTTCAGATGCAAATGAGTGTGAAGGTAAACCATGTCTCAATGCTAATTCCTGCAGGAACCTAATTGGCGGCTACTATTGTGACTGCATTGCTGGCTGGACTGGCCAGAACTGTGATATAAGTAAGTGCATGTAGGTGACTCTCTCTCTCTGTGTCGGTGCGTGCGTGCGTGTATGTAGAAATAGGGGCAGAGAACACAGGGCCCTTGGGATATTTGGGGGGACTCCAGATCTCATTAACCCCCCCAGCCAGTGGTTTGGAATGACGAGAGTTGTAGTTTAACAACTCTGGGAGGGCCACTTGCTCTCGAGGGTGTGCGTTTGTCATTCATGTCATTTTTCGGTTGCAGAAGGTAAGAACACCACGCTGGGTTACACAATGAACGCTGAGATTGAAGCATAGCCTTTGGCATTGGCCAGCAAGGGAGGGGGCCAGCGGCCGATGTTTTTAGAAAGGGAGTAGTCGCTCTGGCATGAATAAGAGGCAATTTTATCAAACCCATTAGTCCCACAACATGGCTATATTCAGATAAGGTGACTCGAAACAATGATGTGAAGTTTCAGCTGAACTCTGCTGGAAGAATTGCCGAAGGTTCCCACCCATTATAATAACCTTATCTGGAGGAAAACATGCAGGAAACTTGACAAAGGGTTTATCTAGCTAATGCTACAGAGACACTTGGATTCTTTCTCTTGGATTTCAGTGCGGGGTTGCTGTCTGCAGGGTTGCTCATGCAGTGTGTTGTGATTTTTTTTTTTAAACTGCAGATACTGATGACTGTATTGGACAATGTCAGAATGGAGGGACTTGCAGGGTAAGTTAGGTTTTCTGAGTTTTTTCTGTCTTATATATATAATTGAGCTTTAATATCAAGTTTTAAACAGAAGATATCAGTGACTGGGAAAGTTTGGAGAAGTGGGCATGGAGGATTCTCTGAATTATAGTCCCAAAGAAACTTTTCCATGCTCTAGAGAAAGGAAGAACAAACTGGATAACTCAGTAGTTTAGGTATCTGGCTGTAGAGTCTGATCCCCTCCCCTGTGCCTCCCTGGAGAAGAGCCAGCCTGTGTAGCCATGGGCAAGCTGCACAGTCCCAGAGCACCCCAGAAGAAGGGAGCTGCCATCCACCTCTTGAGTACTGTCTACTTAGAAAACCCTGGAAAGGATTGCCATAAATCAAAATTGACTTGGATAACTCAGTAGTTTAGGTATCTGGCTGTAGAGTCTGATCCCCTCCCCTGTGCCTCCCTGGAGAAGAGCCAGCCTGTGTAGCCATGGGCAAGCTGCACAGTCCCAGAGCACCCCAGAAGAAGGGAGCTGCCATCCACCTCTTGAGTACTGTCTACTTAGAAAACCCTGGAAAGGATTGCCATAAATCAAAATTGACTTGTCAGCACATTTATTTATTTATTTATTTATTTATTTTTTTATTTATTTATCATCATCATCATCATCATCATTATTATTATTATTATTATTATTATTATT